ATATTTTTTTTTAGTCTGATGTACAGTAATCCCTCACTACTTCGCCGCTCTCCTTTTGTTCCGTCAGTATGTCGCAGATTTAAATAGTTAAAGCTGTAAATAGTTAAAAAAAAGATTCCAATATTTTCATTATTTTCATGATAAAAAATATTTTCTAACCTAAAAAAAAAACCCAAAACAGTAAAAATATTTATAATATAAATATATATATAAAAATATAAATATTTTTACTCTTGTGTTTGGTTAAAGTTTACCCTATTTTTTAACACCCCAGGATGCCTCAGGATACTAAACACAACTGTCCACTGGTGGCAGTAACGAGCCTTCAAGACCCAGTGCCATCAGGTGGAGAAACACAATCTTACCTGGTCTCTGTGGTTTTTGTCGTTTTTCCTCCTCAAGAGTCTTCGCTTTGCTTTCGACAGACCAAACTGTTTTTGACCGCTGACCTGGTTCACCTGTCTTACCTGCGACAACAGGAACTTTGGAACCTGTTAGAAATTCGTCTGAGATGAGGTCACAGAAAAGATTACACAGACCAAATAGTGTGTCCACTCAGACACTCACTGTCCACAGCAGCTCCTGGTGCGTGATCATCAGTCGCACTAGCTGAGCCCCGCCCACTGCATCTTCCATTTCCTCCAGTTGTCTGGCAGCTTTCTGCTTGTGGCGATGGCAGCAGGTAAACAAATTGGGAGCCATCACCAGGGAGACATTCCACAGAGACATCCGATTGTGGTCCTGGTGTGAGACCACCTGACGCAGGAAAAGCAGCAGAGCCTATGACCATGAAAACAAACAGTTTGAGCAATATAATGGAGAGTGCTTGTGTGTGTGTGTATGTTTTTTGTGTGTATTTTTATCGAAATTCTATTGTTGTGGGGACAAATTTGAGATTTAGGGTGCACACTATTGTTGTGTTGTGGGGGACAAATTTGAGATTTAGGGTGCACTCACACTGAGGCCGTTGTTCCGTAGTTATAGTATAGTATTTCGATTTAGAATCAAATTCAGATTAGGATTAAGCATATTCGGAAGGTTAAGGTTAGCATGTATGTGTGTGCGTGTGGACATGCTGTTTTACTCGAAGCATTTGTCGGTTTTCTTCAGGAAGTAGAAGAGTGAGAAGCTGAAGAGCCTGGACCTGATGAACGACTGAAGAAATTCCTGTAAACAAAGATTATTTTTGAAAGTTATCACCGTCATGTCGCATATCTCACAAGTCAACTGCGCACATATAATGTGTCTGTGTGGGTGCGCGGGGGTGTTTTCATACTCAGCACTGCTTGATAGCTGCCCAGGTGACTGTGAGTAAGCAAATGGGTCGGCAGTTCTCTGATGAAAAGCTTGAGCAGGGCTGCAGCCTCCACGTGTGTGACCGTTGACCAGTCTACGGTCCCACAAGTTCTGTCTATCTCTTTACGCAAGTGCTACAGACAAACAGACAAACAGACACACTGTTGGCAGATGGATTGAGGATAACGGGAAAAAAGCAGAACCAATACTGACATGAGATGATTGCTTTACACACACTGGTGGTGAATGGAAAACGATTTAATAACCACACCCAACCTCTCACTCTTTCTTCAGAATTTGTGGAAGAGGTTAGTGTTTTTTTTCTGTTGCTCCATGTTCTTAGCATTTTATTTATTTTGCACAGCATATTTATATTTATGTGTATTTTGATGTGAATTCCAAGATGGCGGCTGAATGACATCACATCTGACACTGTGGTCAGCAACTGTCGGAACAGTCGGAACTGTCCCCTGTCCTCTTCACCCTATACACCTCAGACTTCTGGTACAACGGAGCTGTGTCATATCCAGACGTTTGCAGATGACACAGCCATTGCGGGGCGTATTAAGGACAGGCGCCTCGTGAGGAACTTTGTTGTATGGAGTAAATCCAATCACCTGCAGCTCAACACCTCCAAGACCAAGCAGCTGGTCATAGACTTTGGGAAATCCAAACATGAACTCCGACCAGTTCTTATCGAGGGTCATGAGGTGGAGGTCATGGAGACCTATAAATACCTTGGGCTGTGGTTGGACAACAAGCTGGACTGGGCACACAACAGTGGGCAGCTGTACAAGGAGGCCCAAAGTAGACTGTACTTCCTGCGGAGGCTCAGGTCTTTTGACATCTGCAGGAAGCTCCTGAAAATGTTTTACCAGTCTGTAGTTGCCAGCGTTATTTTATACACCGTGGTGTGCTGGGGGGAGCAGCACATCAAAGAAGGACTTACACAGATTGGAGAAGCTGATCAGGAAGTCTAGCTCTGTGGTGGACATCAACCTGGACCCTCTGGTGACAGTGGCAGAGAAGAGAACACTTGGTAAACTGCTCGCCATCTTGGACAATGCCTTTCATCCTCTGCACACTGTCATCACGAACCAGAGGAGTCTGTTCAGCGATAGGCTCCTCCTTCCGAAGATCAGGACTAGCAGACTTAAAAACTCCTTCGTCCACCGGGTAATTAAACTGTTTAACTCTTCACTGGGTGGGAGGAGGGCGAACAAATGACTAGTGGATAAGGGAGTAAGTGCAATAACCCAACAATAATTTCAGTGCAATAAACACAATGTCCAATCACATTACTGTTATATTTTAACAAACCATTGTATTTCTATGTAATATTCTATAAGTATATGTTCATGTGTATGTGTATATAAATATGCCCACGCAATGCTGATGTATGTGTATGTCTGTACATGTTCGAGATTCAAAGCGTTTATTGTCATGTGTACAGCAAGGAAAGCAGGTTTCCCTGTACAATGACAATTTTACTTTGCTGTCCACATGGAATGCCAAGAAAAGAAATCAAAATAAATAAATGTTATAAATGTTATAAAATAACAAAATATACACATGAATCCCAAATAATGGATAGGGGAGTAAGTGCAATAACCCAACAATAATTTCAGTGCAATAAACACAATGTCCAATCACATTACTGTTATATTTTAACAAACCATTGTATTTCTATGTAATATTCTATAAGTATATGTTCATGTGTATGTGTATATAAATATGCCCACGCAATGCTGATGTATGTGTATGTCTGTACATGTTCAAGATCCAAAGCGTTTATTGTCATGTGTACAGCAAGCAAAGCAGGTTTCCCTGTACAATGACAATTTTACTTTGCTGTCCACATGGAATGCCAAGAAAAGAAATCAAAATAAATAAATGTTATAAATGTTATAAAATAACAAAATATACACAGGAATCAACAGAAGTATTTTCAGTATTTACAATGTGCAGTAGTTAACACTTGTGGATGTGCAAATTTTGGCATGTGCAAAAAATAATATTATTGTCCATTCCCGTTCAGGAGTCTGATGGCAGAAGGAAAGAAAGAGTTCTTGAGCCGGGATATTTTGCATTTTCAGACTCCTGTATCTCCGTCCTGAAGGGAGGAGAGTGAAAAGTCCATGTTGGGGGTGGGTGGGGTCTTTTAGAATCGACGCAGTCCACCTGAGAGCTCTGCGCTGGTGGATGCACTGCAGCGAGGGGAGGGGAGTTCCTATGATTTTAGATGCAATCCTGACCACTCTCTGCAGGCGTTTGCGGGGCCGTGATGGCGGTGCTGTTGTACTACACTGTGATGCAGCTGGTGAGGATGGACTCAACAATGCAGCTGTAGAAGTTGCAGAGGATCTTTTTGGGACATCCCAAAACCTCCTCAGCCTCCTCGGGAAGTACAGTCTTTGCTGAGCCTTTTTCACCTGTTGTGTGGTGTTCAGTGACCAGGTGAGGTCTTTGTTGATGTGAACCCCCAGGTATTTGAAGTTACTCACCCTCTCCACTTCCCAGCCTCGGATAAACAGTGACTGATGGGGGTGCTTCACCCTCCTCATGTCCACTATCATCTCCTTGGTCTTGACCGTGTTGAAGGTGAGGTTGTTGTCCTCCCACCATGTCGCCAGTGTGTCCACCTCCCTCTGCAAGCTGCTTCGTCACCGCCAGCGATACGACCAATCACTGCGGGGTCGTCTGCAAATTTCAGGATGATGTTGTCCTTGTGGGAGGCCACACGGTCGTGGGTGAACAGGGTGTAGAGGATGGGACTGAGGACACAACCCCTGGCTGAAGTCCTGTTTCCTATCCTGACGGACTGAGGCCTGCCAGGGTGGGGTGTAGTCCGAGGGAAGACAGTTTGTGTGTGAGTCTGTGTGGTACCACAGTGTTGAATGCTGAGCTGTAGTCATGTAAAGTGCATCCTGATGTAGGAGTCTCTGTTCTCCAGGCGTGAGAGGGAGGAGTGCAGGATTGCGGCGATGGCGTCGGATGTGAAATCTGTTGGGCCGGGAAGCGAACTGTAGGGGGGTCCAGTGTGTCCGGGGTGTTGCTCTGAATGTGGGTCAGTGCTACTGGCCGGTAGTCATTCAGGCAGGTGGGCGGGCTCTTCTTGGGCAGGGGGATGATGATGGTGGTGGTTTTGAAGCATGAGGGGCACAGTTCTGTGGCTGAGGGAGAGGTTGAATATTGACGTGAGAACATGAGTCTGTCAGCTCGTCGGCACATGCTTTGAGGGCTCGTCCAGGGATGTTGTCTGGACCCCGCAGCTTTGCGGGGGGTTAATCCTCCTCAGGGCTTTGTTTACCTGGGCTGACAAAACGACCGGGGGAGGGGAGGGGCGTTGAGGCCGTCAGGCAGGCCTGATGGTCTGTGAGCAGCTCCTGTAGTCAGTGAGTCATGTGTTGCAGGCCCTGCCACATGCGCCTGGAGTCAGCAGTGGAGTAGAATCCATCCAGCTTTCTTTCTGTACTGTTCCTTGGCAGCTGTGATGGCCCTTTCTCAGCTTGTATTTTGCAGCTTTGTACTCACTCCCGTCGCCAGACGCAAAAGCAGCAGAGCGAGCGAGCGCGTAGCATGCAACGAACCTGGCCGTTGATCCAGGGCTTCTGGTTCGGAAACTTCTTGACATGTATGGTGGGTACAATGTTATCCACACGCATATTCTTGTATGCTGACAGAAGAGTTCTCCAGAGTGGCTGCGGCTTTAAACACATCCCAGTCTGTGGTGGCAAAACAGTCCTGTAGTCTGCTCACATTCTCCGGTGTCCACAGTTTCACCGGTATTGTGACTGCATGTGTTGCAGGTCCTGTATGCACCTGTGTATGCATATTTAGATGTATGTGTGTGTGAGTACATATGTATATGTTTATGTATAGTTTCATCTATGTGGATGTAGGTACATGTATATATATATAACTTATATGCTCTGTATAAATATATTACTAATATCTATCCTATATAATATTATATTATATATGTATAGTAGCTTTTAGTAATAATGATTGTACAAATCCGGTCGACATCTGCCGGAATTGCCTATATAGCTAACTGTTCTATCTAAGTTAACTATTTATTTACTATCTAGTTCCATGTCCCCTGGTGATCTCAACTACACAGCCGATCAGTCAACATCATTTATTAGCTCCTACTGCTAGCTCCAGACCCTTTACCCAGTCTGCCCCTGAGCCTACACAAGTCGTCCTTGTCGAGACCCTTGGGTCTTTAATCGGAGATTTAGCTAAGAAAATTGGAGACACTCTTACAGCCAACCTTAGCGGTGTGCAACAGAGACCAATGCAGACCAGACCAGACGCCTTACTTCAGTGGTGCACGTACTGATATGTTTTCTGTTCATGAGTTGGATATGACAACCCGTCACCTTAAAAGAGAACCTGCTGAAATGTGTGATTTAATAATGTCAAGACTGACAGGCAGAGCCAGAGGTATGATTAAAGTGTCCCTTCGCAGTCGCGATGGTGCATCAGATCTGCCTTTTGCTGTGTCTGACATATTGAAGTGCAACTTTAGCGAGCTGTCCAGTCTATTCCAACTTGCCCATGATTTCTACTGGCACCATTCTAATGCTAATGAGAGTGCTATGGATCACTGGATCCGCCTTAACAAGTCCATTGATGTTGCTAATGAGTGCCTCCGTAGAAGAGGTAAGTCTGTTGAGGATCCCAGTGCAGAGGTGGTCATGATGTTTATTAACCAACTAACCCCGATCTCAGTCTTGCCATGTCCTTTCAGCTGAAGGCTCCAGAACAGTGGACTTCAGCTGAGGTTCACGAGCGTCTGGATGGGCGCTCAGGGCAGAAGCTCAGAAATCATCAGGCAGTAGATTTGTCTGCTCAAAGTCAGAGTGCAGTGACTAATCCCCTTCACCCTTCCAATCCTTGGGTGTCTCCGGGTGGGTCAGCATCAGTGAGTGGGTCAGTGAGGGCTTGCACCCACCCCTCTGCCTCCTTCTGCAGCCCTCTCTGATCTTCATCCTTCTGCCATCACTCAGCCAGCCA